CACGTTTAACGGCCGCGGTACCCTGACCGTGCAAAGGTAGCATAATCACTTGTTCTCTAAATAGGGACTCGCATGAATGGCATCACGAGGGTTTAACTGTCTCTTACTTTCAACCAGTGAAATTGACCTGTCCGTGAAGAGACGGACATGAATTAATAAGACGAGAAGACCCTGCGGAGCTTCAATTTACTAGTACAACTAAAAACCACACAAACCCACAGGTCTTTAAACCCCCATGCCTGTACTAAAAATTTTGGTTGGGGTGACCTCGGAGCACAGTCAAACCTCCGAACAATCCATGCTAAGACTACACAAGCCAAAGCAAACCAATACTTGCAATTGACCCAATAACTTGATCAACGGAACAAGTTACCCCAGGGATAACAGCGCAATTCTATTCTAGAGTCCATATCAACAATAGAGTTTACGACCTCGATGTTGGATCAGGACATCCTAATGGTGCAGCAGCTATCAAGGGTTCGTTTGTTCAACGATTAAAGTCCTACGTGATCTGAGTTCAGACCGGAGCAATCCAGGTCGGTTTCTATCTATTCAACATTTCTCCCTGTACGAAAGGACAAGAGAAATAGGGCCCACTTCACAATAGCGCCCCCCCCCATAAATGATCTAATCTTAATTTAACAAAACATTACAAATCCCACCCAAGAACAGGGTTTGTTAAGATGGCAGAGCCCGGCAATTGCATAAAATTTAAAATTTTAAAACCAGAGGTTCAACCCCTCTTCTTAACACTATGACTACAGCAAACCTTATACTCCTTGTTGCATCTACACTAACCGCCATAGCATTCCTTACACTTGTTGAACGAAAATTGTTAGGTTATATACAACTACGCAAAGGACCCAACATTGTAGGCCCTTACGGACTACTACAACCCTTCGCTGATGCAATAAAACTCTTCACCAAAGAGCCTCTAAAACCCTCAACATCCACCACTACTCTCTACACCATCGCACCCGCCCTAGCCTTCTCCATTGCCCTCCTCCTATGAACCCCCCTTCCCATACCTAACCCTCTAATCAATTTCAACCTAGGACTCTTGTTCATCCTAGCCATATCCAGCCTAACCGTCCACTCCATCCTATGATCGGGATGGGCATCAAACTCAAACTACGCCCTAATTGGAGCCCTACGAGCCGTCGCTCAAACAATTTCATATGAAGTTACCCTCGCTATTATCCTGCTATCAGTCTTACTAACAAGTGGCTCATTTAACCTTAACATGCTCATTACAACACAAAAGCATATCTGACTCCTCTTGCCATCATGACCTCTAGCCATAATATGATTCACCTCCACACTAGCAGAGACAAACCGAACCCCCTTCGACCTCATAGAAGGCGAATCAGAACTAGTATCAGGCTTTAACATCGAGTATGCCGCAGGTCCATTCGCCCTATTCTTTATAGCCGAATACATAAACATTATTATAATGAACGCCCTAACAACTACAATCTTTCTAGGCACATTCTACCCCACCCACTCGCCAGAATTATTCACAACATGCTTTACCACCAAAACGCTCCTCCTAACCTCCCTATTCTTATGAACTCGAGCAACATACCCCCGATTCCGCTACGACCAACTCATACATCTACTATGAAAAAACTTCCTTCCACTCACACTAGCATTTCTCATATGAAACATCCTAACACCCATTACAATCTCCAGCATTCCCCCTCAAACCTAGAAATATGTCTGACAAAAGAGTTACTTTGATAGAGTAAATGATAGAGGCCCCAACCCTCTTATTTCTAAGATTGCAGGCATTGAACCTACCCCTGAGAATCCAAACTTCTCCGTGCTACCTAACACACCCCATCCTAAAGTAAGGTCAGCTAAATAAGCTATCGGGCCCATACCCCGAAAATGTTGGTCACACCCTTCCCGTACTAATTAACCCCCTAGCCCAACTCATCATCTACACCACAATAATCACAGGCACACTCACTACACTACTGAGCTCACACTGATTTCTCGCCTGAGCAGGCCTGGAAATAAACATACTAGCCTTCATTCCAATTTTAATCAAAAAAACAAACCCCCGCTCCACAGAAGCCGCCACCAAGTATTTCCTAATACAATCCACCGCATCCATAATTCTTATAATAGCAATTACCCTCAACAACCTACTATCGGGGCACTGAATAATAACAAATACCGCCAACCAACTTCCATCGTTAATAATAACAACTGCCCTTGCCATAAAACTAGGAATAGCCCCATTCCACTTCTGAATTCCAGAAGTCACCCAAGGAACACCACTAATTCCTGGCCTACTCCTCCTCACATGACAAAAACTAGCCCCCATCTCAATTATATGTCAAATTCACCCATCAATCAACACCTGTGCCCTCATAACCCTCTCAACCCTATCCATCATAGTAGGCAGCTGAGGAGGCCTAAACCAAACACAATTACGCAAAATTATAGCATACTCCTCAATCACTCACATAGGCTGAATAATAATAACGCTAACATACAACCCAACCATTACAACCCTCTACCTAACCACATACATCGCCCTGACAACCACCATATTCCTATTCCTCAATCTGAACTCAAATACCACAACCCTTACGCTATCCCTCACCTGAAACAAATCACCCCAACTCATACCACTAACAATATTCACCCTCATATCTCTAGGAGGTTTACCCCCACTAACCGGCTTCCTACCTAAATGAATAACTATTCAAGAACTTGCAATAAACAGCAACTTTGTCATCCCCTCCATCATAGTCACCATAACCCTACTTAACCTGTACTTCTACATACGCCTAATCTACACCGTCTCAGTATCACTATTTCCCACCCCCAACAACACAAAAATGAACTGACAACTTGAAAACACAAAACCCACACCCCTCACCCCCACACTCACCATCATTTCTACTCTCCTACTACCAATCACCCCCCTAATCCTAACTATTCCCTAGAAATTTAGGTTAAATAAGACCAAGAGCCTTCAAAGCCCTTAGTAAGTATACCACTTAATTTCTGAAACATATAAGGACTGCAAAAACCTACTCTGCATCAATTGAACGCAAATCAACCACTTTAATTAAGCTAAGCCCCTACTAGACCAATGGGACTCAAACCCATAAAAATTTAGTTAACAGCTAAACACCCTAATCAACTGGCTTTGATCCACTTCTCCCGCCGCGAGAAAAAAAGGCGGGAGAAGCCCCGGCAGAAACTTAAAACTGCTCCTTTAAACTTGCAATTTAACATGAAAATCACCTCGGGGCTGGCAAAAAGAGGATCAGACCTCTGTCTTCAGGTTTACAGCCTAATGCTTACTCAGCCATTTTACCCTTCCTCCACCCATGTTCATTAATCGTTGACTCTTTTCAACAAACCATAAAGACATCGGAACTCTATACCTACTATTCGGTGCATGAGCTGGAATCATAGGAACAGCTCTAAGCCTTCTCATTCGAGCTGAATTAGGCCAACCCGGTAGTTTACTAGGCAGTGACCATATCTATAATGTCATTGTAACAGCCCATGCATTTATTATAATTTTCTTCATAGTTATACCCATTATAATCGGAGGGTTCGGGAACTGACTAGTACCCTTGATAATTGGTGCTCCTGACATAGCATTTCCCCGTCTAAATAATATGAGCTTCTGACTTCTTCCCCCCTCCTTCCTGCTGCTAATGGCATCAACCATAATCGAGGCTGGCGCTGGAACAGGTTGAACAGTATACCCCCCCTTAGCAGGAAACCTCTCTCACCCAGGGGCCTCCGTAGACTTAGTTATTTTCTCCCTCCACCTAGCAGGAGTTTCCTCTATCCTGGGGGCTATCAACTTCATTACCACCATTATCAACATGAAGCCCCCCGCCATATCCCAGTATCAAACCCCGTTATTTGTCTGATCTGTCCTAATCACAGCAATCCTACTACTCCTCTCCCTGCCAGTCTTAGCTGCCGGCATTACTATACTATTAACAGACCGCAACCTCAACACTACCTTCTTTGATCCTACTGGAGGGGGAGACCCTATCCTATACCAACACCTATTTTGATTCTTTGGTCACCCTGAAGTCTACATCCTCATTCTCCCCGGGTTCGGAATAATCTCCCACATCGTAACTTACTACTCCGGGAAGAAAGAGCCATTTGGATATATAGGTATAACCTGGGCTATAATGTCAATCGGGTTCCTAGGATTTATTGTATGAGCCCATCATATATTTACAGTGGGTATAGATGTGGACACACGGGCCTACTTTACCTCTGCTACTATAATCATTGCAATTCCTACTGGAGTTAAAGTTTTCAGCTGACTTGCTACACTTCATGGAGGCAATATCAAATGATCTGCCGCAATACTTTGAGCCCTAGGCTTTATTTTTCTATTCACCATAGGGGGTCTCACCGGTATTATCTTAGCAAACTCATCCCTAGATATTGTACTACACGATACATACTATGTTGTCGCCCATTTCCACTATGTTTTGTCAATAGGAGCTGTTTTTGCCATTATAGGGGGCTTTGTCCACTGATTCCCTTTATTTTCAGGCTACACATTAGACCAAACCTATGCCAAAGCCCACTTTATTATTATATTCACAGGCGTAAATTTAACCTTTTTTCCACAACACTTCCTTGGCCTATCCGGAATACCCCGACGCTATTCTGACTACCCCGATGCTTATACCACATGAAATATCCTATCGTCCATTGGCTCTTTTATTTCACTAGTAGCAGTAATCCTAATAATCTACATGATCTGAGAGGCCTTCGCCTCAAAACGCAAAGTATCAATGGCCGAACAATCCCCCACCAACCTCGAATGATTAAATGGCTGTCCCCCGCCTTACCACACATTTGAAGAACCAACCTACATTAAATTGAGCGAAAAAGGGGGGAATCGAACCCCCTAAAACCGGTTTCAAGCCAATCCTATAACCCCTATAACTTTTTCAATGAGATATTAGAAAAACTATTTCATGGCTTTGTCGAAACCAAATTATAGGCTATAACCCTATATATCTTACATGGCCCACCCAGTTCAACTAGGTCTACAAGATGCTACATCCCCTGTCATAGAAGAGCTAATCACCTTCCACGACTATGCATTTATAACTATCTCTTTAATTAGCTTTTTAGTCCTATACGCCCTATCCTCAACACTCACAACAAAACTAACCAATACCAACATTACAGACGCCCAGGAGATAGAGACCACTTGAACCATCTTACCCGCAATCATTCTAATCCTGATTGCCCTACCATCTCTACGCATTCTGTACCTAACAGACGAAATCAACAACCCCTCCTTTACTATTAAATCAATTGGACATCAATGATACTGAACCTACGAATACACAGACTACGGAGGCCTCATCTTTAATTCTTACATACTGCCTCCATTATTCTTAAACCCAGGAGACCTTCGACTTCTAGAAGTTGACAACCGAGTGGTTCTCCCAATTGAAGCCCCCGTCCGTATAATAATCACATCTCAAGATGTCCTACACTCATGAACTATTCCCACACTAGGTTTAAAAACAGATGCAGTACCCGGACGCTTAAATCAAACCACATTTACCGCCACACGACCAGGCGTCTATTATGGACAATGCTCAGAAATCTGTGGAGCTAACCACAGCTTCATACCTATCGTCGCAGAACTAATCCCATTAAAAATCTTTGAAATAGGACCTGTGTTTACCCTATAAATATCCCACTCCCTTTCCACTATACAAATGCACTGCACAGCTATTCTAGCGTTAACCTTTTAAGTTAAAAATTGAGGGGCATGCCCTCTGCAGCGAAATGCCTCAATTAGACACATCCACATGATTTATCACTATTACAACAATACTTCCTACACTATATCTTATTACACAACTAAAACTGCTAGACATATGTTACTATCAATCCCCCCAACAAAAAAAACTCTGACAAGCAAACCCCCAATAACCACTGACAACTAAAATGAACGAAAATTTATTTACCTTATTCGCAACTCCAATAATCCTAAACCAACCTGCTACAATCCCCATCATCATATTCCCCGTACTACTAATTCCAACTTCCAAACACCTCATTAACAACCGACTAACCACTATTCAACGTAACCTAGTACTACTCGCTCTAAAGCAAATAATAATAACCCACAATGCTAAGGGGCGAACCTGGTCCCTAATACTAATGTCTCTAATCACCTTTATCACCACAACTAATCTTCTAGGACTTCTACCCCACTCATTTACACCTACCACCCAACTATCTATAAACCTCGCTATAGCAATCCCCTTATGAGCCGGCACAGTAATTACAGGCCTTCGCTTTAAAACCAAAAACTCCCTAGCTCACCTCCTACCACAAGGCACACCAACATTACTCATTCCCATACTAGTAATAATCGAAACCATTAGCTTGATTATTCAACCAGTGGCCCTAGCTGTACGCTTAACTGCCAACATCACGGCCGGCCACCTGCTAATACACCTAATCGGAAACACTGCACTAACACTACTAAGTATCAGCCCCCCCGCTGCTTTACTAACCTTTACACTTCTAATACTACTCACCATCCTAGAGATCGCAGTTGCTTTAATCCAAGCCTATGTTTTCACACTTCTAGTTAGCCTCTATTTACACAACAACACCTAATGACCCACCAATTCCATGCTTATCACATAGTCAAACCCAGCCCTTGACCACTAACAGGAGCTCTGTCAGCCCTTCTAATAACATCCGGCTTAGTCGTGTGATTCCACTTCTATTCTACCACTCTATTGACACTAGGCCTACTAACCATAACACTAACCCTTCACCAATGATGACGCGATGTCGTACGAGAAAGCACCTATCAAGGACATCACACGACACCCGTTCAAAAAAACCTTCGCTATGGCATAGTCCTATTCATTATCTCGGAAATCTTCTTCTTTACCGGGTTCTTCTGAGCATTCTACCACTCAAGCCTAGCCCCAACCCCCTATTTAGGAGGCCACTGACCACCAACAGGTATTACCCCATTAGATCCCTTAGAAGTACCCCTTCTAAACACCTCCGTATTATTAGCATCAGGAGTCACAATTACCTGAGCTCACCACAGCCTTATAAACAACAATCGAAAACAAACAACCCAAGCCCTACTCATTACAATTCTACTAGGCATCTACTTCACCCTACTACAGATCTCAGAGTACTTTGAAGCACCCTTCACCATCTCCGACGGCATCTATGGCTCAACATTCTTTATCGCTACGGGCTTCCATGGACTCCATGTCATCATTGGATCCACTTTCCTCCTTATCTGCCTCATTCGCCAACTATTATTCCACTTCACACCAAATCACCACTTCGGCTTTGAGGCTGCCACTTGATATTGACACTTCGTAGACGTCGTATGATTACTCCTTTATATCTCTATTTACTGATGAGGATCCTACTCTTTTAGTATGACCAGTACAATTGACTTCCAATCAGTTAGCTTTGACAATGTTCAAAAAGGAGTAATCAACCTAGTACTAGCCCTAACAATCAACACCCTTTTAACCTCACTACTAATAACTGCCATATTCTGATTACCCCAACTTAACTCCTATGCAGAAAAAACAAACCCTTATGAGTGCGGCTTTGACCCACTAAACCCCGCTCGCATCCCATTTTCAATAAAATTTTTCCTAGTTGCCATTACCTTCCTACTATTCGACTTAGAAATCGCCCTACTATTATCCCTACCATGGGCTCTCCAAACAACAAACCTCCCAACAATAATTAAATCATCCATCACACTCATCATCATCCTAACCCTCAGTCTAGCCTACGAATGATCCCAAAAAGGACTAGATTGAGCCGAATTGGTAAGTAGTTTAAACAAAACAAATGATTTCGACTCATTAAATTATGATTATCATACTAACCAAATGTCACCTATCTTCATGAATATTACACTAGCATTCGCCATCTCACTCCTGGGAATGCTGGTCTATCGCTCACACCTGATAGCCTCCCTCCTCTGCCTAGAAGGAATAATAATATCACTCTTCATCATAATCGCTCTCATAGCCTCAAATGCACACTCCCCCCTAACCAATATCATACCGATCATCCTACTAGTATTTGCTGCTTGCGAAACAGCAGTAGGCCTTGCCCTACTAGTATCAATCTCCAATACATATGGTCTAGATTACATTCACAACTTAAACCTGCTTCAATGTTAAAAATAATTGTTCCAACAACTATATTACTACCAATAACATGATTCTCTACAAACAACATAATCTGAATTAACTTAACTACACATAGCCTAATCATTAGCCTTATTCCCTTGTTATTTTTTAATCAAACCAATAACAACCTCTTTAATCACTCAACCTACCTATCCTCCGACCCACTAACAACACCTCTTTTAACACTAACCGCTTGACTCCTACCTCTCATGATGATAGCTAGCCAATACCACCTATGCAATCAGCCCCCCTCACAAAAAAAACTCTACCTATCCACAATAATTTTCCTTCAAATCACCCTAATTCTAACATTCATAGCCACAGAATTGATCTTATTCTATATCTTATTTGAAACCACCCTTATTCCCACCCTAATCATCATCACTAAATGAGGTACCCAAGCAGAACGCCTCAACGCAAGCACATACTTTCTATTCTACACACTAACTGGCTCTCTACCCCTGCTCATCATATTAACCTACACCTACAATAACACAGGCTCATTAAATATCATACTACTAACACTCACAGACCAAAAACTAATAACCACTTGATCACACAACCTCATCTGACTGGCATGCATAATGGCTTTCATAACAAAAATACCCTTATATGGCTTACACCTGTGACTCCCCAAAGCCCATGTTGAAGCTCCCATCGCAGGCTCAATAGTCCTCGCCGCAGTACTCCTAAAACTAGGCGGCTATGGCATAATACGACTCACCTCTATTCTCAACCCTCTAACAGAGTACATAGCCTACCCTTTCCTCATGCTAGCCCTATGAGGCATAATTATAACAAGCTCAATCTGTCTACGACAAACAGACCTAAAATCACTCATCGCATACTCTTCTGTAAGCCATATATCCCTAGTAATCATAGCCTCTCTCATTCAAACCCCCTGAAGCTTTTCCGGCGCAATCACCCTCATAATTGCCCACGGGCTTACTTCCTCTATATTATTCTGCCTAGCTAATTCAAACTATGAACGCACTCACAGCCGCATTATGATACTCTCCCGAGGACTTCAAACACTACTTCCACTAATAACCTTCTGATGGTTCACAGCAAACCTCACCAACCTAGCCTTACCCCCCACCATTAATCTAATCGGAGAACTCTTCGTGATTACAGCCTCATTCTCTTGATCCCACATCACTATTATACTAACAGGACTTAACATACTAATCACAGCCCTCTACTCTCTCCACATATTCATTACAATACAACGAGGAAAACTCACACACCACATAATCAACATAAAACCCCCTTTCACACGAGAAAATACACTAATATTCATACACCTCACCCCAATTATCCTTCTATCCCTTAACCCCAACATCATTCTAGGGTTTACCTCCTGTAAATATAGTTTAACCAAAACACTAGACTGTGAATCTGACCATAGAAGCTCACCACTTCTTATTTACCGAGAAAACTCGCAAGGACTGCTAACCCATGCCCCCATACTTAACACTATGGTTTTCTCAACTTTTAAAGGATAACAGCTATCCATTGGTTTTAGGAACCAAAAATATTGGTGCAACTCCAAATAAAAGTAATAACCATGCACACCTCCATTATAATAGCAACCCTCGCCTCCCTAACCCCCCCAATCATTGCCACCTTTATCAATCCCAACAAAAAACAATCATACCCAAACCATGTAAAAACAACTATAATATATGCTTTCATTACCAGCCTTATTCCAACAACCCTATACATCTCCCTAAACCAAGAAACAACCATTTGAAGCTGACACTGAATAATAACTCAAACACTAGATCTAACACTAAGCTTTAAACTAGACTACTTCTCCGTAATATTCACCCCAATCGCACTATTCATCACCTGGTCTATTATAGAATTCTCACTATGATACATAAGCTCAGACCCAAACATCAACCAATTCTTCAAATATCTCCTTATTTTCCTCATCACAATACTAATCTTGACCACCGCTAACAACCTTTTTCAACTCTTCATCGGCTGGGAGGGCGTAGGAATCATATCTTTCTTATTAATCGGCTGATGATATTCTCGAACGGACGCCAACACAGCAGCAATCCAAGCAATCCTGTACAATCGCATTGGCGATATTGGCCTCATCCTAGCTATAGCATATTTCCTCCTACACTACAACTCATGAGACATACAACAAATACTAACTCTAAACCCCAACCCAAACTCCCTCCCACTAATAGGCCTTCTCCTAGCAGCAATAGGAAAATCAGCTCAACTTGGCCTTCATCCTTGACTACCCTCCGCCATAGAAGGCCCAACCCCAGTCTCAGCCCTACTACACTCTAGTACCATGGTTGTTGCCGGGGTGTACTTACTCATTCGCTTCCACCCTCTAATAGAAAGCAACACACTACTTCAAAGCCTCACACTATGTCTGGGAGCCATCACCACCATATTTATAGCCATCTGCGCCCTCACACAAAACGACATCAAAAAAATCGTAGCCTTCTCCACCTCAAGCCAACTAGGCCTAATAATAGTTACCATCGGCATCAATCAACCATATTTAGCATTCCTGCATATCTGTACTCACGCCTTCTTCAAGGCCCTACTTTTCATATGCTCCGGATCCATCATTCATAACCTAAATAACGAACAAGACATCCGAAAAATAGGAGGCCTATTCAAAACAATACCCCTCACCTCAACTTCCCTACTCATCGGCAACCTAGCACTCACAGGAATACCATTCCTCACAGGCTTCTACTCCAAAGATCTCATTATCGAAGCCACAAACACGTCATATACCAACGCCTGAGCCCTATCTATCACCTTCATCGCCACCTCTCTAACAAGCGCCTATAGTACTCGAATCATTCTCCTCACCATAACAGGGCCACCTCGCTTTTCAACCCTAATAAACATTAACGAAAATAACCCCACCCTACTTAACCCAATTAAACGCCTCACAATGGGCAGCATTATTACTGGATTCCTTATCACCAACAACATCCCCCCCACTTCGCTTCCCCAACCAACAATACCCCACTACTTAAAACTCTCAGCCCTGTATGCAACTATCCTTGGTTTCCTAATAACCCTAGACCTGACCTCTATAACCAACAAACTAAAAATAAACAACCCATCACAAATATTTAAATTCTCCAACATACTAGGGTATTTTCCCACTACAATTCACCGCATAGTCCCATATCAAAACCTACTCATAAGCCAAAACCTAGCCCTTCTTCTACTAGATTCAATATGACTAGAAAAATCTATACCCAAGATGATCGCACATGTACACACCACCGCTTCCAAAACTGTCACTACCCAAAAAGGCATAATTAAGCTATACTCCCTCTCCTTTCTCATCCCCCTCACCCTAACCCTACTTCTAATAATATAACCTATTACCCCGAGTGATCTCAATTACAATATATACACCCACAAACAATGTCCAACCAGCAACCACTACTAACCAACGCCCATAATCGTACAAAGCACCAGCACCAATAGAATCTCCCCGAACTAACCCTGACCCCTCTCCCTCAAAAATCACCCAACTCCCCATACTATTAAAACTAACTACCACTACCCCATCAGAACTTGAAACCCATAGAACTAACCCTACTTCTATTATTAAACCCACCAAAAGACCCCCTAAAACCCCAAACCCTGAACCCCATGTCTCAGGGTACTCCTCAATAGCTATCGCTGTAGTATAACCAAAAACAATTATTATACCCCCCAAATAAATTAAAAACAACATCAAACCTATATAAGTCCCCCCAAAACCTAAAACTACCATACAACCAACCACACCACTAACAATCAATGCTAGCCCCCCATAAATAGGAGAGGGCTTAGAAGAAAATCCAACAAATCCCATAACCAACAATACACTCAACGCAAATAAAATATATGTCATTGCTCTTGCATGGACTACAGCCATAACCAATGATATGAAAAACCACCGTTGTACTTCAACTACAAAAGCACTAATGACCCCAATGCGTAAATCCAACCCAATTATAAAAATAATTAACCACTCCCTCATTGACCTGCCAACCCCATCCAACATTTCCATATGATGAAACTTCGGCTCACTCCTCGCATTCTGCCTAATTCTACAGATCATCACAGGCCTATTCTTAGCAATACATTACTCACCAGACACCTCTTCTGCCTTCTCTTCAATCGCACACATCACCCGAGACGTAAACCACGGCTGAATCATTCGCTACCTCCACGCCAACGGCGCCTCCATATTTTTCATCTGCCTCTTTCTACACGTAGGCCGAGGTCTTTACTATGGCTCATTCCTTCTCCTAAAAACCTGGAACACTGGCATTATACTTCTATTCTTGACTATAGCAACAGCCTTTATAGGCTACGTACTTCCATGAGGCCAAATATCATTCTGAGGAGCAACAGTGATCACAAACCTATTATCAGCAATCCCATACATCGGGACCGACCTCGTCCAATGAATCTGAGGTGGGTACTCCATTGGCAACCCCACCCTTTCACGATTCTTCACCCTACACTTTATTCTACCTTTCATTATCACCGCTCTTACAATAGTCCATCTGCTATTCCTACACGAAACAGGATCAAACAACCCCTGCGGAATCTCATCAGACTCAGACAAAATCCCCTTCCACCCCTACTACACAATTAAGGATATCCTAGGCCTAGTCCTCCTCCTCTTCATCCTAACAACACTAACACTACTCTCACCCAACCTCCTAAACGACCCAGACAACTACATCCCAGCCGACCCACTAAATACCCCTCCACACATCAAACCAGAGTGATACTTCCTATTTGCATACGCAATTCTACGATCTGTTCCTAATAAACTAGGGGGCGTACTAGCACTCTTCCTTTCAATCCTCATCCTATCTATTATCCCCACACTTCATAATTCCAAACAACAAAGCATAATATTCCGCCCACTTAGCCAATTCCTATTCTGATTCCTAATTACAACCCTATTAACCCTCACCTGGATCGGAAGTCAGCCAGTAAGCCAACCCTTCATTTTTATTGGTCAACTAGCATCCACAATATACTTCACCACAGTTCTAATCCTGATACCACTAACCTCCCTGATCGAAAATAACCTACTCAAATGAACTTGCCCTTGTAGTATAAACTAATACACTAGTCTTGTAAACTAGAGATGAGACTCATAACCCCTAGGACAGCTCAGAAAGAAAGCACTTGACTTCACCACCAACACCCAAAACTGGCATTCTAGCTTAAACTACTTTCTGTCTTTTATATTGTACAAACCCTACAGTACAACTCAAGCACCTTTACATAAATATGCTATGTAATTCGTGCATTACTGCTAGCCAACATGAATAATATATAGTACTATACTTGCTTAACTGTACATAACACATGCCGTCATACCCGCACCTACAACCTTCAAAAAGCATACCCACCAAATGAAGATCTCACACACAACCCAACCACAAAACACCATAACCCACCCACTCCACCCACAACACACCAACACGGACAACAAAACCGTCCCCCGTACATAGTACATTACCCTACTTATCGTACATAGTACATACCTACTACAAACCTTCCTTCCCACCACGGATGACCCCCCTCACTTAGAACTCCCTTATTCACCATCCTCCGTGAAATCAATATCCCGCACAAGCAGTGTTACCCTCCTCGCTCCGGGCCCACGATCTGTGGGGGTAGCTAAGAATGAGCTGTATCCGGCATCTGGTTCTTACCTCAGGGCCATGCCAACTAAAACCGCCCACACGTTCCTCTTAAATAAGACATCTCGATGGATCACGGGTCTATCACCCTATTAACCAGTCACTGGAGCTTTCCATGCATTTGGTATCTTTTATCTCTGGTCTGCACGCAACACCATCGCAACATGCTGACTCCCACCACATCCCGTCCTGAATGCGCCTGCCTTTGATTCCTAGTCCATACCATTATTAATCGCACCTACGTTCAATGTCCCAGCCCCGCATAACCACTAATAATGTGTTATTTAATCCATGCTTGTAAGACATACAACAACCAACCCACAACACTACAAAAAAATTCAAAAACCTTAACCAAACCCCCCCCCC